CTTTTTGGTTTTTTTTTCGGTGCAGGTGAAGCAAACCGTATTTTCCTTACCTGAAATTCCCACTTTTTGGTTTTTGTTTTTTTCAGTGCAGGTGAAGCAAACCGTATTTTCCTTACCTGAAATTCCTACTTTTTGGTTTTTTTTTTTTTTCAGTGCAGGTGAAGCAAACCGTATTTTCCTTACCTGAAATTCCCATTTTTGGTTTTTGTTTTCTTCGGTGCAGGTGAAGCAAACCATTTTCCTTAACTGAAATTCCCACTTTTTGGTTTTTTTTTTTTTCGGTGCATGTGAAGCAAACCGTGTTCCTTACCTGAAATTCCCACCTTTTCCCACAAAACCTCCAGGAAAATAGGTCAGGGAATTTTCAACGTCAGCGTGACAGGATATTATTGTGGTACAGGGAACGGTCTCCCGGCGGGAAATCCACGGATATCAACTTGAACATTTTGGCTGCTCTTCCTACGCTTTTCCCGGAATCCACCGGGCCAGTGGCTTTATTCCTGCCCCGTCAACATTTAGGGATCAATATTCCTTTCATGATTCCTCCTTTCTCTCCCTGTGATGTCCGAGCCACGGGATGATGTCACGGGAGCCGGAACGCGGCCGGGGAACAAAGAAATGTTGTGAGGGTTGGGGACAGAGGTGGGTGTTTTTCCCGGGAAGGCTCAAAGAGCTGGAAAAATGCCAGCAGCCTCCTTTTCCCGGGATTCAGGCTGCTCTTGTGGGGTTGGGAATTCCAGGAGAACTCAATGATTTATGGGGTTGGGAATTCCAGAGGAGCTCAACCTCTTGTGGGGTTGGGAATTCCAGGAGAACTCCATGATTTATGGGGTGGGGAATTCCAGAGGAGCTCAACCTCTTGTGGGGTGGGGAATTCCAGGAGAGCTCAGCCTCTTATGGGATTGGGAATTCCAGGAGAACTCGATTTCTTGTGGGGTTGGGAATTCCAGGAGAACTCAATATCTTGTGGGGTTGGGAATTCAGGGGCAGCTCAATTTTTTGTGGGGTTGGGAATTCCAGAAGAGCTTGATTTCATGTGGGATTGGGAATTCCAGAGGAGCTCAACCTCTTGTGGGATTGGGAATTCCAGAGGAGCTCAGTTTCTTGTGGGATTGGGAATTCCAGAGGAGCTCAACCTCTTGTGGGGTTGGGAATTCCAGAAGAACTCAATATCTTGTGGGATTGGTAATTCCAGGAGTTCTCAACCTCTTATGGGATTGGGAATTCAGAGGGAGCTCTATTTTTTGTGGGGTTGGGAATTCAGCAGGAGCTCAGCCTCCTGTGGGATTGGGACTTCCAGGAGAGCTCGGTTTCTTGTGGGGTTGGGAATTCCAAGAGAGCTCAATTTCTTGTGGGGTTGGGAATTCAGGGGCAGCTCAACCTCCTGTGGGGTTGGGAATTCCAGAGGAGCTGAAAC